CAGGTGGGGGTTGGTCTCTTCTCCCAGGCAACCAGCAGTAGGACAAGAGGGCACAGACTCAAGCTCTGCCAGGGGAGGTTTAGGTTGGATATTAGGAAGATATTTTTTTATGGAGAGAGTAATCAGGCATTGGAGTGGGCTGCCCAGGGAGGTGGTGGATTCACCATCCCTGGAGGTTTTCAAGATGAGACTGGATGTGGCACTCAGTGCCATGGTCTAGTAGCCACGGTAGGGTTGGACTTGATGATCTTTGAGGTCTTTTCCAACTCAGTTGATTCTACGATTTTTTTTTCCTTGTTCACATCACATACTTATGCAGACTCCAATGAAAGAGAGAAAGCTGATCGCATTTTGATAGCATTTCTCTTTGCTCTAGGTCTACTTTCAGGATGGCAGAAGTGTTGCTACTGGAGGTTTTAGGCTTTTCTTTTATAAGCCTGCTTTAAAACATCATTGATAGCTTAACTCTTTGAGAAGGCACATACAAATTTATAATTTCATTCCTGTAGAGATCTGAAATGCATTAAGTGTTTTGTTTTCATGTATTTGGATATTTTGTCACTGCTTATCACATTTGTCTTCTAAATCAAACTGTCAGAAGCACAATCTCTGAAACATACTACATATAAGAAACAGCATTCACACACAGAATCAATCAGGTTGGAAAAGACCTCTGAGATCAAGTCCAACCCGTGATCTAACACCACCATGTCAACTAGATCATGGCACTAAGTACCACATCCAGTCTTTCCTTAAACACCTCCAGGGATGGTGACTTCACCACATCTCTGGGCAGTCCATTCCAATGTCTAATCACTCCTACTGTGAAGAAATTTCTCCTAACACCCAACCTAAACCTCTCCTGGCACAGCTTGAGGCTATGTCCTCTCATCCTGTCACTAGCTGCCTGGGAGAAGAGACCAACCCCCACCTGGCTACAAAACCCTTTCAGGTAGTTGCAGACAGTGATACCAGTCAACTTGATTACAGAGCTGGGGTTGTTTTTGCACTACTACTCCGAAGTTTCAGCTAGCATTTGCCAAAGATGGAGACCCTGCCTGTAGAGTATCCCATCCTCCAGTCATCTGCATGGGCAGAGTTTCCAGCAAATTCTTGACAGGAAATTACCTCCAGAGCAACATAACTAAGAAGCTTAGGCAAATACAATACAGTTCATATGCAAATTATTTACCACCTAAAAGAAAAAAAGCTAAACAAGAACTACCACAAATATTAACAAGTCAAGGTAGTCCGTTTAACCAGAACTGCAATGATCCCCAACAGCAAGTACTCTGAAACATAAATCAACTTTCCTCATAGCAACCAGGATTAGTCAATACAAGGACATCCATACTTAATCAAAACAGTGTAAAATAACTTGGCAGGAGCGTCCACAGGCAAACTTACCTAAGGCCACTCCAGTGGTCACAGCCTTGACTGGAATATACAGCTATGATGATGCCTGTTTACTAGCATGTAAGTTACAGTACGAAACTGTTCCCCTTGGAACAAATATTGATTTCCTCATATTTGCTCCATTTGGAAAAAAATTTTAGTGAGAATGGTAGCCTTTTCATGGCAGCAGCTCTTTGCAACACTGGCAAAATCATAACTCCAAGACCAATATTATGGTAATCTACTAACTACTGCTTCAGTAGGCTTAAATACTATAAATGCCTGATGCAAGCATGAATAAAACTGACAGCAAATTTGAAGCCATTAGATCCATACACGGAAGAGCCACATCATGTCCAAGCACAAGGGAGACAGTTCTGGGCAGTTACAACCTAATGTTGCAAAGTAAAGCAACATGCGGACTGCCTGAAACACTTTGAAAGCTGTTGAGAACACCATTTATTTTTTACCTCTGGTTGCTGCAGTTTTCTTATACTTTCCCATGACTTAAAAATACCCTCAAGTTTCTGATAGTCCCTTTCTGACTGAAAACAAACGCAATAACCCAATACTGCAGTCAACAGCTCAGACCTCAAGAGGAGAACAAGTTGTGTCTTCTGCCAGAAGAAAAGGTTCTGTGGCATTCAGAAATAATGCCTGAAGTGTCATACACTACATACAGCTGCATAGGGTGAAATGAGGGAACAGCAGGTGATGGCAACCTTGAGGTTCTCAATAGAAAGGTCACATAAACATACTCATGAGGCTACCAAGATGCTACTATCAGAAATGCAGGTAAGTGCAAGAGTCTGTATTCTTCACCTTAAATACTTAAAGGCAGGAAGATAGCATTTCTTATTAAGAGCTGTTTTCACATTCACTAGAAGGCAATTTTTTAAGAAACTAAATGTGGAATCAGATCAGGTCTTGCAGTCACTGCAACTCCACAGGAAAATGGAGGGGGGCAAGTACAACACATGACACAACATATGATGTCTGAACAGCTGAAACATGAAGTCTCAGCTAATACTTCTCAGCACAGCATTTAAAAAGCAGAAAAGATACCTGCAGTCTCTTAACCAAGTATCAGTGCCAATGGTAGTAACAGAACTATAATAAAGCACCCTTGTAATGCCAAAGGTGCCCTCTTTGCGGAGCAAGAACACACCACTTGATAGTTTTACTTGAGCTGTTTCAGAGAACAGGAACAACTTTCTTGACATTCATGCACTTCGATAGTAAGAGCGAGGCACAGTTGCTTTGGGGCTAAAAATTTGTTCCTGTTTTCAAACCTAAGTTACCATCAGGGATTATTTCTTAAATGCTTCACCAGACAACTTGGGTGTCTCTCAGAGATTAACAAACAGCCCTTTTTACAAGGAATTGAGACTTCTGTCCCTAGATATTCTGCCTGTCCTGCCAAAAAATATCCTTTGGAAAGTTACATGTTTTTCCTGACTGA